ATAAGTTATTTATTTAATTCTATTATTACTTATTGTTATAATATTTACATATAATTTTATCTAATTTCTTTATTTAAAAAATTATTATAATCTAGCTTGTAAGTATCTCTATTGTTATATATTATATAATATTTATTTGTTAATTGAATTCTTTTATTCAAAAAATTATCTGTTACTTTAGTTGGTAAGTTGTAAATTATAGGTTATTATGTATTTATCCAAAAACTAAGACTTATATTACATTAAATTCCTATTTAAATTTTAGAGTAAGTAATAATTTATTCTAGTGTAAATTATAATACAATCTATAATATAATTTTAATTATTTAAATTTATAGATTTGGGAAAAGTGGAAATACAATTATAGATGATTTTATTCGTAAAAAAAAATTAAGATGGATTCCTTATAATAAATTTAAAAATGTTGAATATCTTAATGAAGGAGGATTTGGTACTATATACAAAGCTATTTGGTTAAAAAATAATGAAAATAAAATAGAAGTAATTCTTAAATGTCACAAGAATTTAAATGAAAATTTAAATGAATTTTTGAAAGAAGTATGATAGATTGATAGTATATTATTTTTTTTTTATTTTATAATTTATATTAATAAATTATTATTAATTTTTGTAGTGGGACTATCATAGGAATTGTTTAAATTCATCACTTGATATTGTAAATTTTTATGGATTTACAGAAGATCCAAATATTTCAAAATATATGGTAGTAATGGATTATGCAAATAATGGTAATTTAAGAGAAAATTTAACAAGAATGGTCAAAAATAATTGGAATAAAAAATTATGTATGTTGTACAGAATTATTTCTGGACTTAGTATAATACATGAAAAAAATCTTATTCATTGTGATTTACATGATGGTAATATTTTAAATCATAATGAGAATATGATTTATATTAGTGATTTAGGATTATGCCAACCTGTAAAATCATTTTTGAAAAAGTATGATATTTATGGTGTTATACCATTTATGGCTCCTGAAGTTTTAAGAGGCAAATCTTATACTCCAGCTAGTGATATATATAGTTTTTCTATGATTATGTGGGAATTTACATCTGGAGTTCCACCATTTAATTATAGAGCACATGATATTCAACTTATTTTAAGTATTTGTAAAGATGGTGAACGTCCTGAAATTATTGAAAATACTCCACAATGTTATGTAGATTTAATGAAAAGATGTTGGAATGAAGATCCATTAAAAAGACCATCTTCTAAAGAAGTATTGAAAATTATTGAAAAATGGATTTTCTGTCCTGATAATGATGAAGTCAATGATGAATTAAAAAGCAACATTATGGAATTTATAAATGCACCAATTGGGCAGCATAACAATCTTGTTACTAAATCTCATCCTAAAGCATGTTATACAAGTCGCTTACTTGATTTTACTAGTAAAAAATTGAATGAAATTCTTGAAAGCGAAGATTTACAAGCTTATTATTCAAGTCAATCCACTAGTGAAAAAGTAAATGAAATTCTTGAAAATGAGGATTCACAAGCTGAAGATTTGGATGATTGTATAGTTAATTTGAAGTCATTAGGTATGTAATATAGTATATAAAAAAAATTATTCTTGCAAATTATTTATGTGAAATTAATTTTACTTAATATTTAACTTAGATATTAAAACAGATGAAAATTAACTAGTCATTGTTAGTTTTAAAAAAAACTTATAGTATTTTTTAAGTGATATTTGATATTATACATTCAAAAAAAATTGTTCTTATTTTATTCTTTTTAGATTTATTTAAACACTAAGACTAGAGTAGTAAATATTTTACAAGTTTCTTAGTTTGTAATTTAAATAAATCTTTTTTTTATAATTTTTTCAATTATGAGATATAAATTATCAAAATAATAATATAAAACCTTTTCCAGCCAATGATAACTAATGTATAGACCAACAGCCTAACACTAGCCATTTGATCTATTTGATCACATGTTTGTACATAGCTCTGCATAACTCTGGCCAAACCTGCCTGGAAAATGTCCTTCTATCAATTTTGTTTTACAAATAGTTTTATGAAAATAATAGCAAGTTCTTCTTCACAAGCCTCTTCCTTAATCCTCCAAAAAAGCAATTATACTTTACAGAAACTTTTAAAATCAAAACCAAATATTGACCATATTGAAAATATATCATGAAACTTTTAATCAATATTTGGTTGTGAAATTGTAAAAATGTATTATTGAAATCTTATCGAATTTGTAAATAAATTAAATAAATTGTAAAATTGTGTTTTGAATTTGTAAGTAAATAGTAAAATATTATTAAATATTTAGTAAATTGTTTGATTCCTATAGAATAAATAAAAAAATATATATATATAAATATATTATTCATTTATTCTACTAATAATAACTAGCAACATGTCAAAAACCAAAAATCATTATTAAGAATAAAACAATTATAAGCAATGCCGAATATCACAAAATTTAAACCAACTTACATGAAATAGAAGAATATAAGCCAAGAAGTATGCTTATACAGTCGCACCTCCATAAGTGCACCCTCTATAAATGCATTGCCCCCTATATGCACGCCATGGCTTGGTCCCAAGCTAGGGACTTAGAGCTAAGTGCACACCCTCTACGTTCTACATGTGCATGTAATTCTGAATTCTGGGTATATCAGAACACTCTCCATAAATGCATTCACGTGAAAATTATGTAATATTGGCCAATCATTGATAGCTGTTTGTTCTTTAAAATAAATAAATTTGACAATTTACATTTTTTTGAATAAAAAATATTTTTCAATCTTTTTAATTTTATTATATTATTTTACACCACAGATCATTTTTGTATGTGCAATTCTTTCATTAAAATGAAAATATAAAATAAAAGTGAATTTAAATAAATATTCTCTCCAATTACTAATATTGAATTTTCTATTGGCTGTTCTTAAAGTGCACACCCTCCCTAACTGCATGTGCATGGCCGGGCCCCAGGTGCGTGCACTTATGGAGGTGTGACTGTATTCTTTTTTTGTGACGTTTTAGAAAATAAATAGAAAAAATACATACTTCACATGTTAATTATATCTATACTATTAAAAGACTTTTTGTCAGTCTTTCATTTGTAATCTAATTGTATTTCAAAAACATGCATTGATTATGTCTTTTATGTTAAATTTGTTTATTCATACTAGTTCTTATGATAAATCAGAACCAATCGGACAAAACCAATATTTTTTAAAACAGAATATTCAAGAAAAATTGGTTATTTAAAAAATTTTTTTGATTTTTTATTTTTTTCTATTAAAAAAATGTGTTTTAGCCGATAATTTGACTACCACTAATTATTGAGCCAAATGTTGAATATTAAATAAAAATATATTTTTCATTTCACTGACTGTAAGCAAACTGGTAGTTTATTTCTTATTTATTGATAAATTAATTAGCTTATTTATTTATTACTATTTAATTTTTTATCTTTAGATCACTTTCTTTGGTTTAGAATAAAAAGAATTTTTTTTTAAATGAAAACCATTTTTTTTCATAAAATTATTTTTAAAGATAAAAAAATATATATATAAGAAATGCCAAGAGAATATTTATTAAAACAAGTTTTAAATTATTAAATAATTCAAAATAGAAATTTTAATAAACCAAATTCCTTTTCAAATATTAATTCTACTGTATATTAAAACATACTAACTAAAGTTATAATTGAAATTTATTATGCTACTATATTATACAGGAATACCTAAATCCAAAATTATGTAATTCAAGCAATTTTATTTAAAATGTAAATATAAATTAAAATATAGAAATATAGAAATATAGTGTTAAGTACTTCAATATCATTCACTAGTGTCAACAAAGTTACCGCACATCAGAATCCTCTAGTTTTTTTATAAAAACTAGAGCTGTATCACTATGGCTGCCTAGCGGCAGCCTTCAAAATATATTAGTTGTAACATAAACTGAATGTAAATGCATAGTCAAACAAAATGTTTTATTTTTAAAGAACCCCTAATTGCTTTATTATAAATAATTGATAGATTGAATTAAAAAAATATTTCTAAGTTAGGATGAAAAATTTTATCAGTGTCATATTTAGTTATATTAATACGAACAAAAATTAATTTGTTTAAATATATATAATTAGATTGTAACTAATCTGTCTTAATCTGATTCGGTTTTGCTATTAATTATGATTTAATGTTAGTAATAAATTATTAGTAACTGCTAGAAAAATTATTTAGTAATCAAATTATTATGAAATCTTTAATAGTTCGTATATATTTGATCAGTGATGAATAACATATTTGTAATATTTTATTAGTAACAATTAAATTTTACAATAATTTTTTTTTTAAAAAACAATTACTTTTTTTTTTAATATAATAAAAGTAAATAAACATAAATTCTTTTATTTCATTAAAAAAAATAAATATAATGCTTAATTTAATACACATGAAAAATACCAAAATAATAGAAAATCAGTTCGTATTTATCAGGTGATCTATACGTAACATGATCAGCAATTAAAATTTTACGATAACCAATTTTTTTTTAAACCAACTACTTTTCTTTGACACAAGAATAAAATAATGCAACTTCTTTTATTTCATTAAAAAATAAATATAGTACTTATTACATAAAAAATATAAAGAACAACAGCTAGGTTATTTTAGTCATAAATATTATTTAGTTTTTTTTCCTACCTCTTATTAAATTTGAAATTTTTGTCACATTGAAAAAATTTTGATTTTATCAAATTTATCAATTTCATTGAAAAAATCATAATTTATGTAATAAAATTAATTTATTAATTTATATAATAGTTTATGATTAAAATAGTGTAATCTCATTAAATATTACTTTATAAAAAAAGTGTAATTTCATTAGGACTAATTTGTTTATAGTTACGATATGTGACTTTAATTTTTCTAACATGTGAATTCAATAACGTAAATGATGATCATTTAATTTGTAAATTTATTTATTTTTATTATTAAAAAAGTGTAATCCATTAAAAAACCACACTTTTATAATTATAGCCATAAAAAAAGGATAACTAATTTATTCATAGTTATGAGATGAGGCTTAATACTTTTAACTAATACTAACATGTGAATTTGACTGTAGATTATTTTCATTGTGACGTAAATGATGATCATCTTTCGATTTTCAATTTGTAAATTTATTTTTTTTATCATTAGTTAAAAAAATGTGTAATCTATTGGAAAAAAATCACAATTTTTTAATTAATTAATTAACAAACAAATAAAAAATTATAATAAAAAAAAGATAACTTCATTGTAACTAATTTATTTTATTTAAGGTTACTATAAACAGCTTCAATTTTTATAACATGATAAGATTATTTTTTTACTGTGATGTAAATGATGATCAACTTCAATTCACGTCCAAAAAACAATTTTATCAATTGATATATTGAAATTGAAATTGAAATTTAATTGAAACGAAATGAAATGAAATTTAAATTATGTTTTATATATATTTATTAAAAATGGCCCCTGTTTTGTATGGCGTACCGTACAATTCAAAAGCATGTTGTAAAAAATGGGATCCGGTTAAAATCGCGACGGGTCAAAATCTCGAATTCTAATGCTGGTCAAAATATCACGTAATTCTGCATAATTCTGCATAACGCGGGCCAACTGTCGGGATTTGACCCATTCGGGATTTTGACCCGTCGCGATTTTGACCCGTCGCGATTTAGACCCATAACCCTTTTTAAACACGAAAAAAATAACAAAATGTATTATATATTAAATTTAATAAAAAAAAATATTTAGTAATGCAAAAAAATCATTGAGAATTTTTTCTTTATAAGAGAATTTTTTAATAGGGAAGGTTTTTTTTGATAGATAATTTTGTTAGAAAATTTTTTAACGGGGAGATTTTTTTGTTGATAAAGTATTTCATTAAAGAATTATTTTTTAATAGGATGGGCTTTTTTTTTGATAAAGAATTTCTTTTGAGATTTTTTTTAATACTAGGTGAAAATATTTTTTGGTGGAGATAGATTATTTCGTTAGAAATTTTTTAACGGGAGATTTTTTTTTTTTGATATAGAATTTCGGTAAAGAATTTTTTTTATACAAAGAAAATAATTATTGTTTGCTATACTAATAGGAGGAAGTATAGTAATCTTTTGAGAATTTTTTTAATAGGTAAGAATTTTTTTAATAGGGAAAATGTTTTTTGATGGAGGATTTCTATTAGAAATTTTTCTTTAATAGAGGCGTTTCTTTTGACAATTTTGTTGATTGAAAGGTTTTTTATAAGTGAGTCTTTTTTGATGGAGAATTTTGTTTAAAATCCTTTAATATTTATTGGAAAATTTTTATTAATGTAATTGATTTAATTTTATTCTTAATTTATAGTTTCAGATTTTTTTTTTAATTTTTATTTTTATTTTATAATACTATATTTTCTTTTTTTTTTACTGTCTTTATATTCAGTAAAAAAATGGTTTATAATTATAAAAACTCACATTGTCTTAATAAAATTTCAAGATGCCCCGATTTGACCATTTATTAGTATTAACTATTTTACAAACTTGTATCCATAAAATTAGTTCTTGTTATCCAAAATCAAATTCATTGATTGTGACTTTAATAAATAACATTATGAAAGGTAAAAATCATGTGCTTATTTACTATTGGCTGATCATAGGCAAGGACAATGGTTAGACGAACTACATAGTAGGGCAATAGGTTTGACGTGATCTACATAGAATATTCCTAAGCTAATAAGTGTTTGGTAGACACCCTATAAACCTGAATTCATTAGTTATAACTTAAAAGGTCTATGGCTTCTTTTATCAAAAGTATTATTTATTAAGAAGATTACTAAGTTATCACGTGACAAGTGTTGTGAAAAATGTAATTATGCGTGTTATGCAATACATTTTCAGCGAAATTTCAAAAATTGGACTAGTGGTAATGATAATATCGATAAATTTATTCAAAATACTCAGTTATCAGCTCATGATAATATAGGAAAAGCATTGGAATGGATACCTTATGATAGATTGTATGATATTAAGTATATTACAAAAGATGAGTTTGGTGAAGTGTATAGAGCAAATTGGATTGATGGAAATATATGTGATTGGAATAATGAAATAAAAATTGTAAAAGAAAAAATATGTTTGTGAATTTGAAGTGTTTAAATACGCCAAAAAGTCTTTACAGCAGAATTCATTGATAAGGTAAAATTATTTGATATAATTTTATAATCCTAAATATTTTAATTTTTACTGATACATTATTATATTTGTAGATTAAAATTAACTACGAATTTTATGGAATAACTCAGGATTCAGAAACAAAAAATTATATGATGGTTTTGAATAATAAATGTGAAATATCCGATAAAATATGTAATACAATACACTTTCAACATAAATTCATAGATTGGACAAGTGGTAATAATGATATTGATAAATTTATTCAAGATACTCAGTTATCAGCACATACATTCTATGAAGTGTATAATGCATTAGAATGGATACCTTATGATAGACTGGTTGGCAAAGTGTATAAAGCAAATTGGATTTGATGGAAAAATAGGATATTGGGTTAATGAAAATCAAAATTGGAAAAGATATAAAAGTGAGGATGTAATCCTGAAAAGTTTAAGTAATTTAAAAAACATTGCAATAGAATTTACAAATGAGGTATAATAAATTTAATACCAGTAAAATTTGATTTTTTTAATTTCTACTAATTTATATACAAAATTTATTTATTCAAATAAAGAAAATATATTTTTTCGATTATATCACGGCACTGACCTTGATCCTAACCTAAATGGTGAAAGAACGATAAAGAAAATTGGAAGAAAAAAAATTAGTAAAAATAATTAAAATAATTGGAGAAAAAAAAATATCATTAAAAATAAAAATCGGAAAAAAACGTATCATTGCAGCATCGATCAGATCACTGATCCAGGTGTGAAAGGACGAAAAAAAATAAAATTAGTAAAAAAGTAACTAGGAAAAAAAATTTTATTAAGAAAAAAAGGAGCCTACATCACTTAAGTCTAAAACAAAAATAAATAATAATATACTTATACAACAATAATAATAAAAAATTGTCGGAGAAAAAAAAAATTTTCGGCTTTAAAAAAAAAACCAAACCGAAAAAAGGAAAGCTTGAAAAAAAAAATTAAAATCAATGTACTGCTGCGGCAGATATTTGATCATCCCTGGGAATGACCGAAAATGATAAATTCCGAACAATAATTTCATTAATCGGAATTGGTAATCTAGGCGTCAAAGAATTTTTTTAGTTATATATTACCAAAATTGGTATCTATTAAAAATAATGAGTTTATGTAAAAAGTTGTCTCACAAACTTTTTTTATATCCATGTGTAACCATACATAAGTTTAAGTTTATGTAAAAGAAATTTACAAAACTTACGCAGCTAACTTACGTAAACTTATTGGGTTACACCTAAAAAATTTGTTGTTTACTGTGATTTCATATTTAACGAAAAATTCACATTTATGAGCCTTTTTTTTTTTGATATAATAATAATAGAGTATTTTTACTAATTTTTACCCCATAATTATAATTTAAGTGATAGACATTCCAGAATTATTTGGCTAAAATTATTTTTATTTTGTTTCATCCAATCGTCAAAATTTATGCTGATCATTAACGTAACAAGTATTTTATTTCTATAATCAGAAACTATACATAGAATTTTTAATACACATGCTGCGCAAGAGCTTATTTGCGAGTAAATTTATCCGAATTCTGTATAAATATTGAGAAATTTTTTACGTTTCATTTTTATTACATGGTTAACATTATCTTTGAATTCGATAGTTAAATTTCTAAATATATACAATCCAAAATTAATTTTGTATGGAAATATCAAAAAATGGACTTTAAAGAAAATAAAAGAAATTCATGGAGACATGTTAATACTAATATATATCAGGTAAGACAATTGAATTTGAATAATATAATATTATTGAATTTTTTAATTTTTTAATGTTTTTTTTTTAATCATTTATTTTAAAAGGAGCATGTTACAATTTCTACTATTGGTTCAACTACTGAATCAGCAGGAGAGATAGATGAAAAAATAGTTTATATGGAACATTTAGAAAAAAGAAAACAAGTATATGGAATATGTGGAGAATGTAATGAACCTGGCACAGGACAATATTGGTGTCAACCTTGTAATGCTAAAAGATTTAAGAATAACTTTAAAAATTGGACTAGTGGAAATAAAGATATTGACGAATTTATACAACAATCACAACTTAATGCTGTGCATCGGAAAAAATATCTTGAATGGGTACCTTTTGAAAATTTTAATAATATTACTTATATTACCAGAGGTGGGTTTGGTAAAATTTATTTAGCTGAATGGTCTAAAGGATATCTTTATTGTTGGGATGTTGAAGATCAAAAATGGGAAAGGTATAGTATAAAAGTTGTATTAAAAAGTTTGGATAATTCATCTTATATAAGCACAGATTTTTTAAATGAGGTAATTAAAATAGTTATTTATTTTATATTTTTTTATTTATTTATTTATTTAAATGTCTTTTTCTTTTAATATTTTTATAATTAGATTAAATCTCATCTTCAGATTTATCTCTATAATGTCATTCAATGTTATGGAATAACTCAAGATCTGAATACTAAAGAATATATGATGGTTTTAGATTATTGTGAAAATGGAAATTTGAGAAATTACTATCTGAATTACGAATCAAATTATTCTTCAAAAATGAAAGAATTGATGCGAATTGCAAGTGGACTTTTAGATATTCATAATGCAGGAAAAGTTCATAAAGACTTTCATTCAGGCAATATATTATATGATGATGATTTTCCATATATAAGTGATTTAGGAATGTGTCAACAAGTAAATAATGAAAACCAATCAATTAAACAAGAAGGAACTTATGGAGTATTACCTTATATGGCACCAGAAGTTTTACGTGGACATCAATATACAAAAGCATCAGATATTTATTCATTTGGAATAATGATGAATGAACATATATCTGAAGAAACTCCTTATAATAATATTCCTCATGATCATACTTTAGCCATCGAAATATGTAAAGGACTTAGACCAAATATTTTTAAATATACACCAATATTCCTTGCAGATTTGATTATTAAATGTTGGGATGCTAAAGAAGAAGATAGACCAACTGCTAAAGAATTACATGAAGAACTTGAGAAATTTCATCGTGACGATTTTGATGAGGATAGTGATGATATTGAATCTATTGAATCTCAAATATATGAATATGATGTTAAAATCAAATTAAACAGAACAAGTGAAAAAAGATCTAACAACATTCAAACACATCCACAAGCAATCTATACTAGTAGACTTTTAAATTTCAAAAATCTTCCAGAACCAGTAAATTCAGGTAATTTATTAATAGATGCTATTCAACCAACATTAAGTGAGTAGCTAGTATTTCCGTTGTTAGGCAATATAATTAATATAAATTTATATATTTTTAATTTACAAATTTAGAATGATTTTATTGTTAAATAGGCGATTTAGGAAAATTTTTAATTCTTTAGTTAATACTATTTATTTATAGATTTTGATGAAATTAATCAAGAACAACATGATTTTTTTTTTATTATAAGAATCGAAGAAATTAGTTTAAATTAAATTAATTACATTGTTAAATTAGTCCTATACTATTTATAGTTGAAATTTTGTTTTTTTTTTATTAAAAAGTTCTTTTGGTGCAAAAATTTTCTTTTTAAAAAAAATCAAATACGTTGAGAGTTTTTAAATGAAATTTTCTTTATTGTTTTTTTTTTTCAAAATAAAGTTCTTCTTCTATTATAATTATTTATATTTATTAGTAACTATAATTAAATAAAAAAAAACTTCGAATTTTTTGATGATGATAACCAACAACTTTGATTTTATAAAAAGAGAATATTATTAAATCAAAAACAGAAAGCAGTTACCATTTTTATCAGTATGTGAATTTTTCAAGACAATTTTATTCTTACGCAAAGAAAAAAAAATTTAGATTAAAAATGGAAAGTGATTTCCATTTTCATTTTGAAATTTTTTTGGATTTTTCAAAAAAAAAACTTTATCCTTACGAAAAGAAAAAAAAATTTAAGATGAAAAAATTTTTGTATATTTCAAGAAAAACTTCATTTTTACGAAGAGAGAGAAATTTAGATCAAAAATGTAAAGTGATTTCCATTTCTAATGAAAATTTCAAAAAAGTTGCACACTTTTATTTTAACAATATATATAATATTTTTCGTCAAATTGAGAATTATAATCGCAAAACTAACCTATAAAAAGATATGATTGTCAAAAATTTAATGCATTTCAGGATATGGTCATCAATTTGGTACGAAAATTATTTGTCGTGTTTTATCAAGGATTAGTAATAGTCACGAGAACAAAGAAGAACAAGACATTGAAATTTATACGGTCAGCACGCACAATTGCTAAAATTCTCTTTTTTTTTGTTTTATAGTAAGTAAATAAAGAGTGTTATAATTTTGTTAGAACAGACTAAAACTAAAACTTTTTGTAGACAGTCAAACACACTAAGTCGTTACTAATTCAACGTTTAATATAGCTTTATTTTGTAGTAGTTAAATTATACTGTATTATTACATGCATTTGTATTTACAGGTGTAGTTGAATGTATTTTTGATATGATGTTTATTTTTGTATAACCGTAACGTTTAGACTACCCTGTATAAATAAATTTGAATTGCGTAACATCGCTCCCATTGGCACTTTGTCACGTGACGTTACACTAACTTCCAAAAAAGGAAAATTTCTTCCCACTAAAAGGATTTTGGTTTCACGAATATTCCAAAAAAAGGAAATTTTTGCGCCGATCACATAATTTTGCGAAGCAACGGGTGTACAAATATTTTTATATTGTGTTGCCTGTTACCGTTGCAAAGCAACAGGTTAACGGCTAGTAAAATAATAATAATAAAAAGCAGCCCTTTTTCATTTTCCTGTGGCTATGAGTGTAAGTTTACATAAGTTTATATAAAATTTTAAAATTTACATATATACACAAGTTTATGAAGCTTTATGCAAACTTATGTGAGTTGCGTCTAAAAATTCCATTTTATATTTAATAAAAAATTCATATTTTATAAGCTTTTTTTTTAATGTTTACTGATATAATAATGATCGATTAAGCAAAATAAAATCATTATTTAAATTTATATTGTATAACCAAATGTTACATAATTATGAAAATAATATCAATGAAATCAATAAAGATTTTATCTTAACAACTTTTGGTTAGAAAAAACTGAAAAATGGTTTAAATTATTTTTTAGAAATGATCCTGTAATTATGCGAAATTTACCCCATGATTTCATTGAGAAATTCATCTGGTAAATCATGACATGGATGATTGAATATATATAACAAAAAAAATTCGATGTTTAGATTACCCTCCCAATGTATTTGAATTGTACAGCATGAAATCTGCACCCAATCTATTCCATATTTATTATAGTAAAATGGTTGCCATGGTCATGTGCACAAATCCATGATATTCTTGTGGTTCCGGTTAATGAAATTTTGATTGGATGTTTTTTATGAGATAATGCTCCATCAGGACTCTCAGGATGATGCAATTGGTCGTGGCAGGCACATCATCAAAGCTATCCCATTGGGTTTTTTTTTACTATTTTTTTTCAGTCCTAACTGGGAAGTTAATACCTTTTTCGATAGATATATATATATTTTTTTTAAACCGGTTCTTAAGCCAAGCAAAAAAATTATTAGTTTCTCATGAAAAAAAACATCAAAAGCTGACCTGTCTCCAGGGAAAAAAATTATTTTTCAAGAAAAATTTATCCAATCTCAAAGAATTTTAATAAATTTTCTGCGGGTGAAAGAAGATTGGTTTGGACAAAATCGACCGAATAAAATTTTCTTTTCGTGACATTCACGTGACCTGGCCGGTGATGAGAAACCAACAATTTTTATTTATTTGGCATTATAGACCAAAAATTTTTAAAGTTTATTTTCGTTTTTTTCAAACTGGTTTTTTATTTTTCAATTTTTTTTTCAAATTTGTTCAAACTAAAAAAAAAAAAGCCTCAACAGCAACAAAATCAGCCCATTTCTAAATTATGAAGCGATTATTACTCCGTTAAAAAACCTTTTACTTTGATTGTTAGATGAATTTAATTGGTTTCAATTATTTAAAAAAATATTTTATTTTTCAATTTGAATATTTATTATTATTTGTTCATTTTTTATTTACTTATCAATTTAATTTTTTTTTATTATCCATTTTTCATTATATTTATTTATTTATAATTAACACAAATTATTTTTATTTGGTTTCATCCAATTATTGAAATTTTCCCTTTTTTCTTTTATGCCGATCAATAGTGTAACAAAGTATTTTATTTTTATACTATATATAGAATTTAATTTTGAATGTTACACATGCCGCACAGGAGAATAAATTTATCGATTTTAAAATTTTTTTTTTTACGTTTCATTTTATTATATGGTTAACGTTAACTTTGAATTTACTAAGTAAATTTTAATCTACATATATACAATCCAAATTAATTTAGTATGGGTATGAAATTATCAAAAATGAATCCTACAGAAAATAAGATAAATTTATGGAAAGAAGTTGATTATTCAGAATATCAGGTAAAACAATTTATTTTATCATTTAATAATATAATATTATTGAATTTTTAATTTGGATAATAATGTTTTTTAAAATCATTTATTTTAAAAGTTACACGTTACAATTTCTACTATTGGTTCACCTACTGAATCATCAGAAGAGGCAGATGATAAAATAGTTTATATGGAAGATTTAGAAAAAAGAAAACAAGTATATGGAATATGTGGAGAATGTAATGAACCTGGCACTGGAGAAAACTGGTGCCAGCCTTGTAATGCTAAAAGATTTAAGGATAACTTTAAAAATTGGACTAGTGGAAGTAAAAATATTGATGAATTTATACAACAATCACAACTTAATGCTGTGTATTATTTAAGATATCTTGAATGGATACCTTTTGAAAATTTTAAAGATGTTACTTATATTGCCAGAGGTGGATTTGGTAAAATTTATTCGGCTGATTTGCCTGAAGGATATATTAAATACTGGGATATTGAAAATCAAAAATGGAAAAGGGATTGTAATATAAAAGTTGCATTAAAAAGTTTGGATAATTCATCTCGTATAAGTACTGAATTTTTAAATGAGGTAATTAAAATATGAAATGTAATTTATTTACTTTTATTTTTATTTGTATATTACTTAGTAGATTTACACTTTCAATATTTTCATTAGATTAAAACTCATCTTCAGATTTATCTTTGGAATGTTATTCAATGTTATGGAATAACTCAAGTTCCAAATACCAAAGATTATATGATGGTTTTGGAATATTGTGAAAATGGAAATTTGAGAAATCGCTATATCAATAATGAATCAGATTATTATTTAAAAATTTATGATTTATATCAAATTACAAGAGGACTTCTAGATATTCATAGTGCTGGAAAAGTTCATAAAGATTTTCATTCAGGCAATTTATTATATAATGATAATGGTTATCCATATATAAGTGATTTAGGAATGTGTCAACCAGCAAATAATGAAAAGTAATCATTTAAACAAGAAGGTATTTTTGGAGTATTACCTTATATGGCACCAGAAGTTTTACGTGGATATCAATATACAAAAGCATCTGATATTTATTCATTTGGAATAATTATGAATGAATATATATCTGAAGAAACTCCTTATGTTAATATTCCTCATAATCTTGCTTTAGCTATTAATATATGTAAAGGACTTAGACCAAATATTTTTAAATATACACCAAAATTACTTACAGATTTGATTACTAAATGTTGGGATGCTAAAGCAGAAAATAGACCAACTGCTAAAGAATTGTATCAAGAACTTGATAAATTGTATGTTGCTGCTGGTTATGATGAATATAATGATAAAATCAAATTAAACAGAACAAGTTAAAAAATATCTATTAACATTCAAACACATCCACAAGCAATCTATACTAGTAGACTTTTAAATTTCAAAAATCTTCCAGAACCAGTAAATTCAGGTAATTAATTTAACTTTACTTTGGTAACCAAAAAAAATGTTTACATTACTAATAACTTTATTTTTTAATAGACGTTACTAAAACAACATTATGTAAGTAACTATTTCTATTGGCAATCAATATAATTAATAATTCTTTATATTGTTTTAATATCATGTTAATTAATTTTATAGATTCAGAATGTTTTGATTGTCAATTAGACGAATTATGTAAGATATTTATTCTTTAGCTCTTTATTTTGCTAATACTTATTAATTTTACTTATTTTGTAGATCTTAATGAAATTAATCAAGATGAAGAAAATAATACTGAATGATTTTTTTTATAAGATTCAAAGAATTTAGTTTGCAGTAATTAAAATTATATTATTAAATTATTTTTTTATAATAGTTATTATGGTTTTGTATGTAATATTTGGGTTTAACAAAAATAAATTAAAAATTGGTTAGCTACTGACTGTTCAATTCAATTTATGTAAATTAGTTTATTTCCAACTATCCAGTAATTACTAGTATTTTGTTACAAAATATTTAACATACAGTACTGAATGTAATACCAAATTAAGGCGATTCTGCCATTCTCAAACATCTCTTTCAATTTGATCAGATAGTGATATAATTTCAAGTATCATATTCAATAATGGACATATTATGATAATGATAAGTTAAAAAGGCATTTCTTAATTTAATTTTATTGAAGTGATAGAAAAACTGAAATTATTTTATAAATAATTCTGTAACAGTCACTGGAAATGTCACAATAAATAAAGGCAAATTTTTTTCATTAAAGTTGACAAAAATAAATTGTGGTGTTTAATTATACAGTACATATAATTAAAGTTGGCCAAAAATATTTAAATCTGGTATAATTTGCCGATCAATAATTCATAATTCTGGCTGAAATTTTGTTAATTCTGGCCAATTTCGTAATGTCGGCCTGAAATTTTGTTAAAATGAAAAAATTTGATCAGCCTCGCGTCCTTAACGTACAGTGGGGTGTACAATTTTAACGTACAAACTGGCCCGAGTTTAGGGGTTATGCACTTGCACGTGATAGCGTTAACGTTAATTCCGGCCAGTTTGTACGTTAATATCGTGCACCCTCACTGTACATTAAGGAACATCACTTACACAATCTAATCGATCTAACAACCTATTGTGACCCGCTTCTATATTCTTCTTAAAAAAAAAAAAACTCTCGTACTTTTTTATTATTCAACTTCAATCTTTGCCAGAAAGTTGGTGTATTTTTTAATATTAAAAGAAATAAAAGGTGAGAGAAACTTAAAATTTACCAAATACAATAAAAAATTTAAAGCTTTAAACAAAAACTAGTAAAATATAACGCATTTTCTGATTAAAAACAAAAAAAAAAAATTATTTTTTTTGTTAGATTTATTTTATTTAATAGATTCAGAGAAAAACTTGGAATTAGGGATGGCAACGGTTATAATCATAACCGTTTAACCGACCGTTTAACCACATTTAACTGACCGTTTGACCGACCATTTAAACATTTGACCGACCATTTTTAACCGTTTAACCGACCATTTGACTAATTATTTAAGTAAAATGGTATAACCGACCGTTTAACCGACCGTTTAACTGATTTTTTAACCGACCATAACCGACTGTTTAAATTTCTATAACTGATTATAACCGACCATAACCGACCATAACCGACCGTTGCCATCCCTACTTGGAATATGAGAATCATGTTATCTATCAATGAAAAAGCAACTGATACTTAAACTCTAACTCCAATCTACTGTTATACGACCGGTCCATTACTATGAAAATTTGTGAAAAATCAATTATTTTTTAATTAAAATATTGAAAGTTCTTTTTTATAATTGAAATTAATGATATATTGAAACAATTAGCGTAATGTAACTTTAATACATTATATTAATTTTAACCAAAATAGGATTAATCGAAAAATTTTTTGGGGTGTAAAATATTTTAATTTTATATGAAAAAAAATGAATCTGGTAAAAAGATAAATCAAATTTTTACGTTAAAAGGGTAAATCTAGTATTTATTTATAAAAATTGGTAAAGAAATTTCTATTATACATAGAAAAGAGAATCAAATTTACATTAGAAAAATAAATCTATCCTATCCAAAAAATAAATTAACTTATATGAGTAATCAACTTGTTTACTAATTTCACATCAACTCCATCATGAAAATAAAGAAATCATCAAAAAATTATTTTTAGCTATTATTACCCTACGCAAAAAAAAACAAATAGCCCCTATATGAAATACAAAAAAGTAATGGTAACATGAAAGAAAAACAATCATCCTACCTTTATTTATCAACTTATTTTCATCGATCAACTAATAGTTTTACCCGATCAACGATCAACTGATTCAACTCCATCACGAAGTGACGAAGATAAAGAAATCATTAAAAAATTATTTTTAACTATTATTCAACCTACACAAAAAAAAATAAACCTAGTATATCAGATACAAAAAGTAATAGCAACATGAAAGAAAACAAAATAATTGTCCCTCCATTTACTCCATTATTCATCGCTTATTAAGAAATCATTGAAGAAATTATCAATTTATTCAATCTACTGTACACAATGGAAGATTAATTGGTGATTTAGGTATTTACTATTATAAATTGAAAATCATCAAACAAAACTCATCTTAAACAAAAATACTAAGTTAAAAATAAGAAATTCTAAAATAACTTCAACCCACCTAAAGAGTAGATTTGTGGAAATTAGTGTAAGTATATTATAATTTTATAACCAACAAATATAGTTAAAAGGACTGTAAATACAAGAGAATATTAAAATAAATGAGCTTTATGTACCTTTTTCTTTGTCGTAATAGAAAAATTTGTTTTTTACATTTTACACAAAAACTGCCTAAAAACTGAGAAAACTTTTTTCTTCGCGTAATTTTGCATATACTATCATTGTCAAAAGTATGTCTTTCTCTCTTCTTCAACTTCTATCTCAAAAAAGTACTTTTTTTAAGGTAATTTTGCGTGTAATATAAAATAAAAAGAAAGTATTAAAATAGAAAGTAAGATAGAAATTGATAGAACACATGATAATCTATCAATTTTGTAATCATCTGAATCATCTGACGGTTATTTATTCAACAAATTTCGATTTATTATAAAAATGATCGGCATGTGACTTTATTGGATGATAACCCCAGATCGAGGCTGTGATACCGTTTACTAACTACCATGGGTAAAATTTTGATCATACTTAGATTACCATGATACCATCCCGTATAAATAATTTTCTGCGCCCAATTTATTCCATATTTATTATAGGTTTTTATAAACTTTATAAACTGGAAATTAATACGTTTTTAAGTTCTTATAACCGGGAATTTTTTTTTTTAAAATATCTTTGGTTCTTATAGAAAAAAAAATTTGTTTTTTATTTTTCAGTTTTTTTTTCAAATTAAAAAAAAAGGTTTCAATTTTTTAGAAAATATTTTATTTTTTCAGTTTCTTAAAGTTGAATTTTTATTTTTATTATTTATTCATTTTTTATTTATCAATTTATTTTTTATTATTATTCATTTTTCATTGTATTTATTTATTTATAATTAACGCTAATATATCTAATTTTACCTAAATCATATTGATTGTTATATTTGATTTAAACTACATTAATCCTTGTTTCAACGAAACAAGTTACAGCAAGTTATTGGGCTGAAAATTTTTTTTATTTGGTTTCATTCAATCGATTGTTTTATACCGATCAATAGCGTATTTTGTTTTTATCATCAGATTAATACTATATATAGAATTTTTGTATCAAAATTTTGAATGTTACACATGCTGCACGAGAGTTTATTTGCGAATAAATTTACCCGAACTCCGTTAATTTTTTTTTTTTTTTTTTTTTTTTTTTTTTTTTTTT